TAAGAATGAATGAAATTAACTTTTCAGATGACTACTTTCTTTCAACAAATAATACTAATTCTTTACTTTTCATGTGGATTTTGTGGAACGAATCAGATGGTAAGTATCTTCATAATTTACTTAATGGTTAATGAGAACTTGGCTTGTTCTTTTTGATGAGGGTATGGTGAAATAGCCATCGTTATATGCAGTATCGATCAAGTCTAAAGACATCCTCATAATTAATCAATCCTTTAAAGTTATCATGCCCATGAGACTATATACTACTATAATATGCAGTATTAATCAAGTTCTAATCACATCCTCATAATTAATCCATATAATGATGTCCATCAAAGCAAAAGATAGCCAATGAGATGGCATAGATCACCAGTGATTTCAAAATACTATCCTTACTGATATAATAAAAATGACTTTTCTTCACCTTATATCTCATTATATAATCAAGTTCTAATCACCAACTCTTCAATATAAGAATGAATCACTAACTCTCAATATAAGAATGAATGAAATTAACTTTTGAGATGACCACTTTCTTTCAACAAATAATACTAATTCTTTACTTTTCATGTGGATTTTGTGGAACGAATCAGATGGTAAATATCTTCATAATTTACTTAATGGTTAATGAGAACTTGGCTTGTTCTTTTTGATGAGGATATGGTGAAATAGCCATCGTTATATGCAGTATCGATCAAGTCTAAAGACATCCTCATAATTAATCAATCCTTTAAAGTTATCATGCCTATGAGACTATATACTACTATAATAAGCAGTATTAATCAAGTTCTAATCACATCCTCATAATTAATCCTAATGATGTCTATGTTTGTTTTTTTAATTGCATCTATCAATCTAATCACCAACTCTTCAATATAAGAATGAATCACTAACTCTCAATATAAGAATGAATGAAATTAACTTTTGAGATGACTACTTTCTTTCAACAAATAATACTAATTCTTTACTTTTCATGTGGATTTTGTGGAACGAATCAGATGGTAAGTATCTTCATAATTTACTTAATGGTTAATGAGAACTTGGCTTGTTCTTTTTGATGAGGATATGGTGAAATAGCCATCGTTATATGCAGTATCGATCAAGTCTAAAGACATCCTCATAATTAATCAATCCTTTAAAGTTATCATGCCCATGACACTATATACTACTATAATATGCAGTATTAATCAAGTTCTAATCACATCCTCATAATTAATCATAATGATGTCTATGTTTGTTTTTTTAATTGAATCTTTTTACTTTGATTGAGAACTCTATCAAGGATTTTGCTAACTCTTCAATATCAGAATGAATGAAATTAACTTTTCTAATGATTACTTTTTTTAATAAATAATACTATCTCTACTTTTCATGTGGATTTTGTGGAACAAATCAGGAGGTAAGTGACTTCATATTCTACTTAGCTGATTTATATTGATTTTTGACAAGATATTCAATGAGCATTCGGTAGTGTGGTGACTTCATTTTACTTTCAAATTGAGGTTGTTGTTTTTTTTAAATTGAATCTTCTTACTCTGATTGAGAACTCTATCAAGGATTTTGCTAACTCTTCAATATCAGAGTGAATGAAATGACTCTTCTTCACATTATCTTTATTATTATCATTTGAGTCCTGTACCAAGGATTCTGTTAACTCTTGAGTATGAGAATAAATAAAATTACCTTTTCAGCATGTAAGTGACTTCATACTTTACTTAGCTGATTTATATTGACTTTTGACATATTTAATGAGCATTCAGTAGTGTGGTGATTTCATTTTACTTTCAAATTAAGGTTGTTGTTTTTTTTAAATTGAATCTTCTTACTTTGATTGAGAACTCTTTCAAGGATTCTGCTAACTCTTCAATATCAGAGTGAATGAAATTAACTTTTCTAATGATTACTTTTTTTAAACAAATAATACTATCTCTTTACTTTTCATGTGGATTTTGTGGAACGAATCAGGTGGTAAGTAACTTCATACTTTACTTAATTGTTTATGAGAACTTGGCCTGCTCTTTTTTATAAGGATATGGTGAAATAGCTACCGTTATATGCAGTATTGATCAAGTCTAAAGACATCCTCATAATTTATCAATCCTTTAAAGTTATCATGCCCATGAGAGCCCACCAAAAAGGACAGATCATCAGTGATTTCAAAACAATACTATTATTAATTAAAGAGAAATGACTCTTCTTCACATTATCTTTATTATTATCATTTGAGTCCTGTACCAAGGATTTTGCTAACTCTTGAGTATGAGAATGAATAAAATTACCTTTTCAGATGATTACTTTCTTTTAACAATCAATATAATCCTTTTACTTCCCATGTGGATTTTGTGGAACAAATCAGCATGCTATCTGACCAGAATAAAATTGGCTTAAAATATGAGCCTGGCTGTTTTACTAATTTACATTACTTGTTGACATGATAGTTAATGAGCATCCTGTAGTGTGGTGATTTCATGTTACTCTCAAATTAAGTTTGTTGTTTTTTTTAAATTGAATCTTCTTACTTTGATTGAGAACTCTAGCAAGGATTCTGCTAACTCTTCAATATAAGAATAAATGAAATTAACTTTTCAGATGATTACTTTCTTTCAACAAATAATACTAATTCTTTACTTTTCATGTGGATTTTGTGGAACGAATCAGATAGTAAGTATCTTCATAATTTACTTAATGGTTAATGAGAACTTGGCTTGTTCTTTTTGATGAGGATATGGTGAAATAGCCATCGTTATATGCAGTATCGATCAAGTCTAAAGACATCCTCATAATTAATCAATCTTTTAAAGTTATCATGCCCATGAGAGCCCACCAAAAAGGACAGATCATCAGTGATTTCAAAATATTACTATTATGCCTGTACATCTATCACATTCATCATTCTTTAACCTTTGACACCCTAACATCAGTATTGATGATTACTTTTTTTCAACAAATAATACTATCTCTTTAACGAGAACTTGGCTTATTCTTTTTGATGAGGATATGGTGAAATAGCTACTGTTTTATGCAGTATTGATCAAGTCTAAAGACATCCTCATAATTGATCAATCCTTTAAAGTTATCACGCCCATGAGAGCCCACCAAAAAGGAAGGATAATCAGTGATTTCAAAATAATACTATTATTAATATAATGAAAATGACTTTTCTTCGCATCATTTTTATTATTATCATTTAAGTCCTCTATATATTTTTTGCTGCAAAAAAGTACAAAAAGGTATAAGATATAAGAAAAATGACTTTTCCTCACACTATATCATATTATATTTATTATTAATATTTAAGTCCTAAAAATGGCTGAAATCGTCTGTACATCTATCACAATCATCATTCTTTAACCTTTGACACCCTAACATATTGGTATGCGTATTCTCCATAGCACGCAGGTGAGCATGGAAAATACCAGCCATCTGTTACCATGGTTATAACTCATGAGGTCTTATAGTTTTTTAAATTTGATATAGTGAAAAACTTAAATGAATGGGCAATGTTTTTTGCATGCAATTTGCAATAATGACATGCAGTTCTTCTATTTAGAGTCACTTTAACTTGTAAATCACATAAAGTTCTGATATAAATATAGTTAATGGCGGCTGGTCATCCTGGGGGTCATGGGGGAGGTGCAGCCAAACCTGTGGTGGTGGGTCACAGTACTGAAGGCACAGTTGTACTAATCCTCCCCCAAGTGGGGATGGATGGTCTTGCTATGGACGTAATAGCATGAGACAATCTTGCAACACCAATTATTGTCCTGGTAATAGTGTGTAATCAGTGTTAAAACAATAATCTTTTATCATTTTGATAATTAATTTTGCTGGTTCCAGGTGCTCCATGCATCTTTAAATTAATTACATAGTTTTTTAGAAATCAATGTTTAGTAGTTGCAAGGTTTTTACCATAAGCTGCTATTTAGATTTGGTTAAGTTCTGGTCATGCCTTATCTTTATATGCTTCATTCAAAAAGTTTAATGAATGAGCATTGTATATGCATGCATTTTGCAATATCAATGTAGGTGTCAATTTTTAGTAGTTGCAAGGTTTCTACCACATGCTGTTATTAAGATTTTGTAAAGTTTCTTTCATGCCTTATTCTTATTTGAAACGGTTAAAATGTTGAATGAATTAGCAATATATATGCATGCAATTTGCAATATTGGTAGGCAGTTCTTCTATTTAGAGTCACTTTAACTTGTCAGTCATTAAAGTTCTGATATTAATATAGTTCATGGTGGCTGGTCATCCTGGGGGTCATGGGGGAGGTGCAGCCATACCTGTGGTGGTGGGTCACAGTACCGAGAGCGCAGTTGTACAAATCCTCCCCCAAGTGGGGGTGGAAGGAAGTGCTATGGAAGTAGAAGCAGGAGTCAATCTTGCAACATAAATCATTGTCCAGGTGAGAGTGTGTAATCGGTGTCACTTTAACTTGTCAGTCATTAAAGTTCTGATATAAATATAGTTCATGGTGGCTGGTCATCCTGGGGGTCATGGGGGAGGTGCATTTAAGTGGTGTACATACCGAGAGCGCAGTTGTTAAAGTTCCCCCTTTAACTTTAGCAGGAGTCAATCTTGCAACACAAATCATTGTCCAGGTGAGAGTGTGTAATCGGTGTCACTTTAACTTGTCAGTCATTAAAGTTCTGATATAAATATAGTTCATGGTGGCTGGTCATCCTGGGGGTCATGGGGGAGGTGCAGCCTAACCTGTGGTGGTGGGTCACAGTACCGAGAGCGCAGTTGTACAAATCCTCCCCCAAGTGGGGGTGGAAGGAAGTGCTATGGAAGTAGTAGCAGGAGTCAATCTTGCAACAAAAATCATTGTCCAGGTGAGAGTGTGTAATCGGTGTCACTTTAACTTGTCAGTCATTAAAGTTCTGATATTAATATAGTTCATGGTGGCTGGTCATCATGGAGGTCATGGGGGAGGTGCAGCCTAACCTGTGGTGGTGGGTCAGAGTACCAAGAGCGCAGTTGTACAAATCCTCCCCCAGGTAGGGGCGGATGGTGGTGCTGTGGAAGTAGTAGCAGGAGTCAATCTTGCAACACAAATCATTGTCCAGGTGAGAGTGTGTAATCGGTGTCACTTTAACTTGTCAGTCATTAAAGTTCTGATATAAATATAGTTCATGGTGTAATCAGTAATAAACCAACAATCTTTTATCATTTTAATTATTAATTTGGCTGGTTCCTGGTGCTCCATGCACCTTTAGTTCAGTTTACATAGTTTTTTAGATATCAATGTTTAGTAGTTGCAAGGTTTTTACCATACGCTGCCATTTAGATTTGTTAAAGTTCTGTTCATGCCTTATCTTTATCTTCTTTGTTCAAAAGGTTTAATGAATCAGCATTATATACACATGCAATTTGCAATATCAATGTGGATATCAATGTTTAGTAGCTGTAAGGGTTCTACCATATGCTGGTATTTAGATTTTGTAAAGTTTCTTTCATTCCTTATTCTTATTTGAAACGGTCAAAATGTTGAATGAATTAGCAATATATATGCAAGCAATTTGCAATATCCACAGGCAGTTCTTCATTTTATAATATAATTAACTTGTTAATCATGTTAACCTCTGATATGATGAGAGTTGATGGTGGCTTGTCATCCTGGGGAGCATTAGAGAGCTGCAATGTAACTTGAGGGGGTGGATTACAAGGGCGAGTTTTAAAGTTTTTAAGTTGTTTCTTAATGGCTTATTCTTGAAACATTGTTAGTCAATGGTGGTTGGAGTGAGTGGAGTCCCTGGAGTATCTGCACTAAAACAGTCAGTGGCATACAAATAAGGTTTAGAGAATGTTCCAATCCAGAACCAGCATATGGCGGGGAACATTGTAATGGGAGCAGAGCACTTGTAAGGGAATGTAACAAAATGTCCAGCTGCCACGAAGGTAACATACAGATGGTAAAATCAGTGTGTCAGAGTTTTAGTTACAAAGGGTAACATTAATTGAAATACAGACATCATGGATGGTCCAAAGTCTAATCATAGTTGAACCCCACATTTTATAAAGGCTAAGTCCTGTCAAAAGCCGTTGTCGTTTAATCTACATACTAATAAATTGACCTTGTCCAAATTAGCATTACATCGCAGCTTGAATCACAGGCGGCCCAAGCTCCAGCTCTTAGATGATCATCTTGCGCAATAACAGTCATGGCGGAATTATAAGAGTTTGTATGGGAATATTTACGAACGCTTGAAGGAATTAAAAAATACGTCAAATTCTCAATAAAAATACCTTACCTTACTTCCACAGCGTATTACTTGTTACCTGACCCCTTACTTTGATGAAAAGAACCCCTTTTAGCGAGTTGTCCATTTCGAGGTTTCCCACGTACGTAAGAAAAGCCCACGTCTGAACACTCCATTTCCGAACGTCCGATCCGAGAAGCGAAAAATTCCAGCGCAAAATGACCGGGTGGCCACAAATCCAACGCAGAATCCAAGCACATATACTTTGGTTTCATTTCAACTCACTACAAACTCAATCTTTCCCGTGCAACCGACGCTAAACCGCAGTTTGCCTCAGAAATGTCCAGTTTAGAGGTTTCTGCCAGCCTTCGTACACATCAACCTTGACACACGACCGTTGAAAACCAGCTTGGTAGCCCTGCCTCCTTTTCAAATTGAATATCGCTAGGGACCAGCACCATGGGTGCCAAGTTACGGTGTGGTCCCCGGCGAGGCCCAGTTTAAAAAGGAGGCAGAGTTACTAAGCAAGGCCATTTTTCGCTGGGATTTTTCGCTTCTCGGATCGGGCGTTCGGAAATGGAGTGTTCAGCCTTGGGCTTTTCTTATGTACGCGGAAAACCTCGAAATGGACAACTCGCTAAAATGGGTTCTTTTCATCGAAGTAAGCGGTCAGATAACAAGTGATACGCTGTGGAAGTAAGGTGAGGTATTTTTACTGAGAATTCGACGTACTTTTTAATTCCATAGAGCGGTCGTAAATATTCCCATACAAACTCTTATAATTCCGCCACGACTGTTATTGCGTAAGATGATCATCTCACAGCTGGACTTTGGGCCGCCTGTGCTTGAATAAAGTTGTTTTCATTAGTATTATCATTATCATTTTCTCACTTGTTATTATCATCAGGATCATCATCGTTATCATTATTATTATCCAGGCGGTGTGCGCACTCCGATTGCGTTGCATTGGGGTAGCTTTATTTTCAATATGGCGGTGAAAGCGGCAGAAATCGGCAGATTTTAACTGAACATTCCGTAAAAGTTACGCCGCTCCTTTTTTCCTTTCACCATAGGTAAATATAACCTGGTTTATTCTGAATGTGTAAAAGTATTTTTTGTACGTATTTGTCGCGTATTCTATGGTTCTCAAGGACATTAACGCAATCACTGTTTTTTTAGTATGTAATTTGAGACCAGTTTTCGAAAAGGTCAAATTTGATGTACGTCGTAGTTTGGAGCCTTTCAAAGATTTGGATGGCCGCTTTGATCCTTCTTCAACAGCTCTGACTAAACACTCTCAAACGCTCTCCAACGGTACACGTGTTTCGCGCATTTTAAGTGCTAGTGTTTGAGACCGATTATGACCAAAAAAAGGCCTATTGTTGCGTTACACAGCGTTACTATTGTATACTCAATTGTGTAGTAAATCTACTTTTCTAAGTAGAAGCAAATTAACTAATCGTGAGTGTTGTATGGTAAATCTACTATCTTGATCACTGAATGAAGGACAGTTGAATTAGAGCAATGAAAGAAGTCACTTGGCCACTGAATAACTCTACAATGCATATGGCGACACGCCAGGTAAGCCGGAAAGCAAAATGCAGTCGATCGTGAAAAGGTGTTGATAGGCTTATGAACGCTTGTGTTTTTAAATCTTCTGACCTGAAAACTTAGCTGTTATAAATATATCTTTTAATGACTTGCCTCTGTGATGTGATAATAAGGGTTAGTTTTTAAGGTGTAATTTCCCTGTCTGTATGTTCTTGAGGTTTGGCAAAGCCGAATGAGATCGTGTTACAAAAGGTAATATTTTCATGTGTGCGCGCTATTTTCTTTGTTTTCAATTATACTGTCTCTCCCACAGAAGATAACTCTAGAGATATGGTTTTCAAAACCTTATTTTAAGTATTCTCTATTCTTTTAAGTATATTTGAAAATCTGTATGTTTTTTTATTAAACGTTGAGCGTGACGAATTTGGTCTTAGAAGGCGTAACGCTTCTCCTTTTGTGAATCCCGTATTTACACCTTTAAGTGTATGACATGAAAAATAATTCGTATAAGAAGGTAGCTGTCTCTTTGTAATGAGTTTGCATGTCAAGGGTTGATTCCCTATTAAATAACTCGGGAATTTGATATTATTCACACAGCCATTGGCTGTGAGTGTAACTGCTGCCAAATGAATAGATTCTTGGCCAAGGCTGCAGTTTCGATTCTTTCTGAATCTCTTCAGTTGCCTCCTAACAACAAGTTTGTCACGGAGGAATAACAGGAGTTGCGCAGGCCTGCCAACGCTTTTTAACTTTCAAAGGAATGGCAACAGCAGTGAATCCCCATTATATTCAACATCTATTTGCACTATCTTGCTGCCACCAGAGATGTTCACTCAACCGCGACAGGATGTAAATGACTCACTTTTCATTTTACGACCATCATGCAACACAATCAGAGTGTGCACACCGCCTGATTATTATCATACAATCCCTATTACTATTATTGCAAATGTTTATGTTACTTTAGTATCATCATTTATATTGTTATTATCCTCATTACAGTGTGCACTGTTGTCATCCGTAAGCATTTAGCGCTAAATTTCTTGTCAATCACTACTGAAATATTTAGTTTCTTGATAGAATAGTATGGGATGTCTGATGTGAGCAGTATCAATTATTTTCTTTTTTTAAACTGGTCCTGAAAGATACTATTTAATTTGAGGCTGATGATTATGTTTCTAACTCTCTTAGAATTGGTATTAACATATGAAACTAAGTACCTATTTGGGGCAATCATCAACAAAATAATTAAAATTTGTAGAATCGTGAAGAGGGCCTCTCAAGATGTACATATACTTTTGTATTATTTCTTTCATCAGTATTTCCACTGCACTTTAAAACGGAGAGCAACCCATCAGTTGGTACAATGGAAATCCATACAAACAGCAGCTGGAAAAAGCTTTGCACCAGTACGTGGAATAAAGTTGAAGTAGATTTGACATGCATGGCAATGGGATACTCTAACAGCAGTGATTATGGTAGATGGTATGAAGACAGTGGCAATGTATCAGAGACATCTACTAATTTCAACTGCACCACCACTTTGACTAAATGTGAAGAAAGCTTCTCAAACAAACTGCAATTCTGCAAAGGTATTAATCAATTATGCATTTTGGAATCTGTTGTCAGATCTATTTCAGTCTGTACATCCTATTCTAGGTACCCTTATAGACTTGATCATAATTCCATTGGTAGACCTTGCCAAAACATCCTTTCTTGCTTTGGTAATTGATTATGTACTAGTGTTTTCTCGAAGACTGCTCTCTAAAAAAATATGATATATATTGACAATTAGGTTTTTTTTCGAGGAATAATTTAAATTGTTGAAGGTGTAAAGAGGCCCAAAAATGATACCTGAACAGCTGCCCATCAAAGAACCCGTACAGCTAAATTGGATTTCTAAACCTGTATGAACACCTTGAACTTTTAAATTTCTTCCTAATCCTGCTGTCTCCTTCTCTTATCCATATTTCTTCCTTTTATAAATTCACCGTTAACTTACCTTTACTGATTGCTCAATATTTTGTGACTTTATAAGTTCCCGTTCGCTTGAATGGTGCAAATGTAGAGTATGGTGGTAGAGTGGAAGTATTTTACAAAGGGAAATGGGGAAAAATTTGTACCAATGGATGGGATTTCAATGATGCCCAAGTTATTTGCCGTCAACTCGGCTTTGAAGAGGCTCTTGCTGAATTCATTGGCTCAAACGTAGAGGATGGAAACATTACTTCTGTAATGGTGGATGTTTCCTGCAATGGAGAGGAGGTAGAACTTGCATCTTGTGCACGCACTGATGGAAAGTTAAATGTCCCTGGTCAATGTCGAGGAGATGGCAAAGGTTCTCAAGCACTGTGTCAACCAAGTAAGTAAGATATTAATAACGTCGAGGTGGAAATTCCTAAAGGTGACTGGTCCTCGTGAATAGTCACGTGTTTAAAGTTAAACATCAAAGATCAAGATATTATTAGTTTTGAAACAAACTAATGTCAAAATACTGAGACAGAATGAACTGATAATTGTGCTACTTGAAAACATTTCTTTCAGAGAACAAAGAAGTATTGGGAAAAGAGAATCTTTACTTTGATATTGGCAATGAAATCCTTCACTGCTCAATACGTAACAAAACCAGTTTTGCGAGATGGGTCATTAATGGTCAAAAGGTGCAAGGGATGAATTCTTCTTCTAAGAGGGTCAAGACCACAGAAGATGGTAAACTGGTCATAGAAAATGTGCAGTTGTCTGATGGAGGAACATATGAATGCCTCAGACTGGAATATGTTCAGTATTACACGGTTTACATTAATGGTAGGAAAATCCTTTTCAACACATTTAGAAGACCTTAATTGCCTCATTGTAGAGTAAGTTAACACAGCAGTAAATGTGCCCGGCACTCACAATATAGACACAC